TTTGCTGGCCTGATGCAGCCTGGTGGAACCACTGAGACTATGGGCCCTAGCTGCCCTTCAGGTCTGGAATTGAATGCAGACTTGTGGCTTCCAACCAAGCAGTAAACAGGCATACTAGTTGAGCGTTTACCTGAGGCAGATACACTCCGCAGAGAAAACAAGCAAGAGAGAAAGAAGGGCTGCTGAGGCACAGGGAGACAGCTCAGGGGGTAGGAGTGCATGGAAGGATGGTCACAGGGAAGCAGTACCTATCGGGAGGAAGTGGGAGAGGAAATGTTGCATTGTGCTAAATTGTGGTCAATATCATGAGATAAAGTATATGTGATCTGCTGTATGGAAAGTGTATTTTCTCTGTAAATTTTCACCCATATCACAATAAAAATAAAATAAATAAAAATAAATAAAGACTATATTACAATGCTAATTGAATTCTTAATGTCAAAAAGCTCTGGTGACATAGTACCTAAGGCTAACCAGAAGGCTGGCGGTTCAAACCCCCCAGCCACTCCTCGGAAGGAAGGTTGGGCAATCTACTTCCACAGTGATACCTCCTCGGAAACCTAAGGAGGGGTCACTATGAGTCAGGTCAGACTGGACGGCACATAACAACAACAAATACCAAATAGTGTCTGAAGTTAAAGTGAGGGCATTGATTGGGATCCTGAAACTTAGGATAGGGATATATGGACAGACAATCAGGAAGCTTGGGACTTTGAGCCCTAAACTCCGTTGAATCACTTCTGTCAGCAAAACCAGCCTTCTTCTGAATGAAGAGATTATTCCATTTTTGTATGCTAACCCACCCTCCCCAGTAAAACCATTATATCTTTTATCCTCATCTGATGAGATTAATGCAGATGTGCTTGAATGGGCTTTGTATAAGATACTGCTGGGACAATGCCTGAAATGTTTCCTGGAGTCAGATGCCTCACAAAACATTGCTCAATGTCCCCAGAACCCATCTCCCACCACCCATTTTTGCTTCTAGATCTATAACTAGACTTAAGTCCCAGTGAGCCCCAAGAGATAAAGTACAAAGTGTACCAGAGGAGGTTGGCTACACTCCAAAATAACTGCTTGATTTTTCTAATATATACAAACTAAAAACTGGGGAATATGTTTGAGAATGGCTACTGAGGGAATGGGATAATGCACAAAGAATATAAAATTGTGTCAGTTTGAGTTTATTGATAGGGGCCCAGTAAGCACAGATTCTTCATTTCATATTTCAGCTTAAAAGGTTAGAAAAGGAGCTAATAGTTTATTTAGTGTAGCAGTGGCGTACTACTAGTTGAAATGCCAGACCTGCCTTGGTATTTTGTAGAAGATGTCCAAAGGCTTAGGGAAATTGGCATATTAGAGTGGATTTATTAGGTTGGGCCTGCAGAACCAACCAGGGAGTACCCAGAGGACATACCTTTTACTCCAGTGGTGAAAGAACAAAC